CCATGTGGCTTCTCCTTGGGGATATCTTGCAGGAAGTGAGCCTTGCCAGCTGAAGCAGGGAACTGGCTAAGGCAGCTGCACCCTGGTCCGACTGTCAGAAAGCAAGAGACCCGAGAACCAGAAAGGTAAGGCTCACGAAGCCATTTATCTCTCTGCCCTTCAAGTAACCCCACGTGTTTATTGGGCAGGTTGGCACAATAAACTTTAACTCTATCAGATAGTAATGAGGAGCACCAGTTAAGCATGCTCGTTCAACATAGGCTTATAATGGTACTGACTGAACACGCCCTGCTCCAACACTTGATACTCTTTTTGAAACATGGGGCAAAGAATCTTCTCACTCACAATAACTACAAGTTAGATCACATGGTTGTCATTTTATAGATGAGCCACAGAGAGATTAAGCAAACTGCACAAGGCCATGGACCTTGGAAGTGGCAGAGGCAGGATTTAAACCGAGACCTGCCAACTTCACTCTGTGCACCAGGCACTAGGAAAGAGGGGTAGACTGAGAGAAGAGAGAAGTCATGAGGGGGAAAGTGCTCTCAGCCAGCAGCCGGAGGGTAAGACACTATGGCTGAGGATGTCAGAGGCTACCTGTGGTAGTTACATCATCTCCTGTCAACTTGAGGGAAGGAGTGGAGTCTAGCCTGTCAATCAGGTCATAGCCAATGAGGCCTTTGTGTGGGCATGGCCTTCTCCTGAGGGTTCTGGGAACACCTGTCTTCCTCCCTGGAGGTAGGACACACAATCTCTCTGCTTCATATCCTGTTGACAAACCACAAAGAGACACACTGATGGCAGCCAGAGCCCGGGAGCTATAGGAGCCACGTGGAGTCCCACGTCAATGCTGAGGTACTTCCACCACCATTGGAGCCACAATACTTTGACCCACTGGCCTGTAATCTTCTTACATTTTGCATCATTGCTGTGTGAGTCTAAAGAGGAATTTATGGACTGGTATCAGATATATGGGCTAATATCAGACTAATGGACTTGATCTGGACTGGGCTGGGATGCTTCTTAATATACAATTACTCTGATATGAAGCTCTTTCTTATACACATATGAGTGTCTATGAAATTGTCTCTCTAGTCCACCCAGACGAACACACTGCCCCTGGTAGGCAAGGGAAAAGGGAGACGGAGAGGGGATGGGAGAGGTCGAGTGGGTAGAAGATCTCTTCTGCTCAGGAATAATATTCTCTGTTGCAGCCCTGAGCATGAAGAAGAGAAAGCATCCCACCCCCCGAGAAGAGGACGGTGCCATGGCCGGTTGCCCTGCTGGGGCCCAGCCCCTCTGAAGAAATAGGAAGTGCCCTTGGCCTGGATCAGGCAAATTCAGAGCCAGTTCCCCTGAATGCCGCTCTCCAAAAACAATCAGACATGGTCCAAATCACATCCCTTCTCTCAAGCTAATGCAATAAATAGCAATGGATAAGCAAGATCAGAGGAAATAATATTCTCACCGGAGAAATGAAAACAAGGTGAAAAACAGAGGAATGTTTTCCATTTCATTCCAACACAGAAGGGCTTTGTTCATTCTACAAAGGCAATTCAAATGCTCGGAAACCTCAATCAGAAGAAAAGATTGACTTTCAAAAGAAAAACAAGGTTTGCTTCAGCAAAGGGAGAAAATGATCATTTTTCCCCCTTCATATTTACAGCTGCTTCATCATTTTCCCAGACAGAAAAATTTAATACAAGAATCATGGTATCTCTAGACACCTGAGAAAATGTTATTGCATTCAAGATAAATATTGAAAACACCATGATGCTCTTTGTCCTGAACCTTCAATCAATTTTTAATGTTCATCCTCTGGATTTTGTTTCTCAAGATTGAGGCAGAGTGCCCCAAAAATGTCAGTCTACCTTCCCCGAAAGAATCCCTCCCTTGTGAAGCGTCTCATTCCCCAGACTTATCTACCGGGAGCATCTCCCTGCACAGCCCGCCTCTCGCACAGGGATGAAAGCCCTCGGTGTTGCTGTAACAGACTCACTTCCACTTTCTGGTGCAAATCCACCTTCTCCTGGAGCAGGAGACTGACAAGAGGTCTGTGGCCATTCTGGGCTGCTACCTACAAAGCAGTGATATTGAGCTTCAAGAGACAGATGGAAAAGGCCAGGGGAGACGCCCATTAGAATCCAACATACATTCCGATGCTTGTCTCACGGTACTTAATGCAGTGCTATACTGTGACAAGTTTCAAAAGGAAATTTGAAGTGTTTCCAATTATTTCAAGGGGGACTGTGATTTCTAAGTATCCGCCATAAAGAGTCCAGTCCAATGAATAGAAAGTGTGTGCCTTGAGCATACCTCTCTTCCAGAAGAGGATCTATATGCGCCTTGAGCATAGCTCTCTTCTAGAGGAGGATCTATATGTGCCTTGAGCGTAGCTCTCTTCTAGAAGAGGATATATATGCGCCTTGAGCGTAGCTCTCTTCTAGAGGAGGATCTATATGTGCCCTGAGCATAGCTCTCTTCTAGAAGAGGATCTATATGTGCCTTGAGTGTAGCTCTCTTCTCGAAGAGGCTCTATATGCACCTTGAGCATAGCTCTCTTCCAGAAGAGGATCTATATGTGCCTTGAGCATAGCTCTCTTCTAGAGGAGGATCTATATGCACCTTGAGCATAGCTCTCTTCCAGAAGAGGATCTATATGCACCTTGAGTGTAGCTCTCTTCTAGAAGAGGATCTATATGCACTTTGAGCATAGCTCTCTTCCAGAAGAGGATCTATATGCACCTTGAGCATAGCTCTCTTCCAGAAGAGGATCTATATGCGCCTTGAGCATAGCTCTCTTCTAGAAGAGGGTCTATATGCACCTTGAGCATAGCTCTCTTCTAGAGGAGGATCTATAAGTGCCTTGAGCATAGTTCTCTTCTAGAGGAGGATCTATATGTGCCTTGAGCATAGTTCTCTTCTAGAGGAGGTTCTATATAGGCTTAATTTCAATGGCATCTGAGGCATAGAACTAGACAGGGCAGACAGCACACACACTCATAGTGGTGCGCTCTACAGCAGTTGGTTAGTTGGTAAGTGAGTCACAACTAGTTTATAAAGCTACCATTTAAATCAAGATTTGTCTGATATAGAGGTTCATCTCTTTCATTTGGTAAAAAGAACAAAGTTCATTCTGAGGGGGGAGAAAATTCAACAGTATAAGTAGAGACGGTGAAAATGGCAATGGAGTGTGAAGGATGTAAATAATGTTGTTGGGCTATTCATGTAGATATCATGAATAGATGTGTTTGTATATATTGCACCAAAATTAAGTGGGGAAAAAGTTAAGCCGGAGTCCAAGGTATCTATATGCCAGAGGCAAAGCTAAGTTTAATCTTTTTTCACCCCTTCTCTAAGGATCTCTGGTGGCACAATGGGTTAAGCCTTGGGCTACTAACCTCAAGTTCCATGGTTCAAACCCATCAGGGTCTTCTCAGGAGGAAGACAAGGCTATGTGCTCCCATAGAGATTTACAGTCTTGGAAAGCCTACAGGACAGTTCTACTCTGTCTTTTAGGGTCATTAGGAATTGGACTCAGCTCAATGGCAGTGGATTTCCTTTGCATGGACGGAGCCCTGATAGCATAGTGGTTAAGCACTTGGCTGATGATGCAAGGGTAGGGGGATCGAATTCAGCAGCCACTCAACAGGAGTAACATATGTCAATCTGCTTCTGTAGGGATTTATGGCTTTGGAAACAGTACCTACTAATGAAGAAATAGATAAGCACATTTGGGGACATACATACAAAGGAATACTAGACAACCATAAAAACAACCAAGAGTTTGTGAAACACAGGTTCATAACATAGAGGGCCCTGGAGGGCATAATGCCAGGGAAAATAAGTCAAATACATATGGATAAATAGTGCATGATTCCTCTTTTACAAAGGAAACAATAATAAATAAATAAAGAGAATTGTGGCCACATTGTGGTAAATGTAACTAATGTCATGAGCAATTTGTATAGAAAGTATGGAATGGAAATCTAACTTTCTGTGGAAGCTTGATCCCCAAACACAAATATATAAGGTTCTTTAGAAATCCTATGTAATGGTCTATTCTGTCCTATAGAGTAGTTATGAATCAGACTCTATAGCACCAGGTTTAGTTTTTCCCTCCCTGCTTCTCCTAAAAGTATAAAGTGGACTAGAAACATTCTTCTCTCCATCAACACCAGGAACCTCCTTCCTGAGTGAAAACAGCTCATCTGGTGTTGGCCCAAGAAGTACCTTCATGCTCGTCTACTTGTCTGTGGTTCCTTCCAGCTCCACTTTTTCCAGATACGGCTTCAAAGCAAGGTTGGCTTTCCACCTATGTTCAGTGTCCCTCGTTGTCCTGTTGCTCACCTCCATCAGCACTTCTTGTTCCCTCTGCAACTGGCTGCCTCCCATGTCCCTGTGATTTCCTGTTATGGATTGAACTGTGTCCCCCAAAAGGATAGATTGGATTTCTAGCCCCACCAGCACTTCTTCTGAAAGAGCAGAAACAGCATGTTGGAAGAGGGTATCAGTTAAGTGAGCATGAGGTTCCCCTGGAGTAGGCTGGGCCCTAATCCTATACAATCAGTGTCTTCCAAAAAAGAGAAGAAACACAACAGTGGGGACACAGAAGATGCCACCACGTGGCACTGTAGCTGCAAGCCAAGGAATACCTGGAGCAATCAGAACCTGGGAGAGAGGTGTGTAACACTCAAAGTCTCAGAAGAAGAAGCATGGCCGACAGGCTTATCTTGGACTCCGAACTTCCAGACTGTGAGGCCGTAAGTTCCTGTTCGTATCAGCCTCCAGTTGGTGGCATTTTGTTCCTGAAGCCCCCTAACATC